TGACAGCTGAGATTTGCTTTAAAATAATGCAACAGAGAGGAAGGAGGTATGGAAATGAGGATAGAGATAAAATAAGTTTGATCATGAGTTGAAAATCGTTGAAACGGTAAAATGTAGATATGAGTTTTATTTGCTAGTCTCTCTCTATTGTACCTATGCTGAAAAAAATCGTAAAGAAATACATTAAGTAACATTAACAGTTTTAACTTTGAGGGTTGAATGATTGGATTTCTAATTTTCTTCTTACTCTTGTGCTTTGCAAATTTTCCTACAGTGAGATCATAATAAATATTAAAGCTCATTTTAAAAAGAAAAGATAATAGAAAACAGATGTACTGTAAACACCAAGCCTTCAGTTTCCTTGTCTATAAGAAGAAATAAACCTTATTATCTTTTCCCTTTCCTCTCAGGAATATCTCATCCCTGGTTTACTTGTCCTTTCCCCTAGGAAAACTCCATATCTGCCCAGCACTTTTAAATGAACGTCCTATTGCACAATCAAATGTACTAATGTTCCTTCTTGCATCGATGGAACATTTCTGATTTATTTTGTGTGTCCTCCACATGTATTTATTTTACTCATCCCGATAAACATTTGGGGAAGTCCCTATCTGGGATCCAGGAAGAGTGCTGGGCACTGGGCTGAGCATGGAAAATGTTATAGGTTTATCTTTCCTAGATTTTAAGCTCTGGAAGGACAGAGAGCCGAAGAATGCACCTTACACAGGGCAGTGCTAAGAAGGCATTCAATCTCACAGCAATTGCAGATGAAGGTAATAAGGGTGTTAGGTAAAATACAGTGGAGAAGGTCTTCTACTATTGTGGCAAGCCCCACAGCTCTTGTGTAGTGCAAATCACCAGCAGGAGCCTAAAGCCAAGCCCTGGAGTGTTTTCAGGAAGATCCAAATGGGACTATGACAGTATGCGGAAGGGGGCCTTGGAAAGAATTGATTCACAGCCATAGAAAAGATGTGGCTTATGAACTTTCCTCTCTATAAATACGAGGAGACAAACAATGGACAGAAAGAGTAAGTAGGTCTATTTCTTTCTCTGAGAAAAAAGCAGAACGTACAAGCCCATTATTACTCTGCTGGTTAATTATTAATCCTATGCTTTTCTCTTGCTAGAACTTCTGGTGCGGTGTATAATTCATGAACACACTTTGCCAGCTCTCTGCCTGCTGGTTAATCTCTCTTTGGTGTCATTTTAGTCGTTTTTGAAAGTCTCCAGTTCCCTTTTATAGGACTTAGTTTTTCAAGTCTTCAAATCTCCATTTTTCAGGCATCTACTTGCATGTTCTGATCTTTTTCAACTTTAGTGATCATTAACTTGATTTTTTTAGGCTACAAGAAACTTCTCGCAGCCCATTAGAATGTAGATATTATCAACAAGTCTGTCCCTGTTCTGAAATTTCTATTCTACTATGAGGACACAATAAGAAAAATTCAAAGCGTATGTGAAAGCTGTCTTTCTTGCCAACAGGAGCTAGAAATGTG